AGTTTTTTATTTTTTATTTTTCATGTTGTTCTTTCAACTTAACAACTTTTTACTTTTTTTTTTTATTTTTGATTTTGATTTTGATTTAAAAATTATAAAGTAATTTTATAAATTTAATATAAAAATAAATTTTATTATTATATAATAAATTAATAAATAAATAAATAAATTTAAATATTATGTAATAAATTAATAAATAATTGTTAATTATTTATTAGCAAAATTATTACTTGATTTAAAAACAATTTAATAAAATTTTAATTATTTATTAATTTTATAAATAGTAAATAATTTAATATTTTTATTACATACAATTTTTAGTCAATATCCTTAATAATCATTTTTTCTTTTCATTATAATTCACTTCATTATCACCACTGTTTTTACGTTTAAATACATGTTCCACTATTACTTTTAATTTTACTGTTATAGTAATTAATCTCACTATCTATCCAAATATACTCTCAATAAACATAATTTTCACTAAAGAACTCCTTAATATATTAATTACTTATATTTAGTTATACAATTATCACCTCTCTTTAAATTTTTTATGAAACTGATTTTTCAATTTTTTTGACATTAAAACATATAATAAGCATGTATAATACGTATATTATTTTTCTATGGCAACATTGAAGTTTGGTTGTGTATTTTGGTATGTATTCTTTTTCTTCACAATGGTTTAATAGCACAATTGGTTATTAAATATTTGTTTGTGTGGTAGGTTTTGCCTCTAATTAAATGCTAATAAATGAGAGACAAAAGGAAAGAGGAGTGGGAAGAAGGGACCAAACCAACTATTTCATAAATTCATAAATATTGCGAAATTATAAGTTGAAATTATTTTGTTTTCTTTCCTTTTAAGGAATTAATTTGTTTTATTTATTTTATATATTTAAAATTTTCATCATTGGGAGGTTTCACTTGTAAAAACAAAACTTTTGACTAGCATGTCTCATGTGGTTCATTTCTGAAATAAATATAAATGATTAATTATTATGCATTTTAAATACTATTAATGCATATTTAAAATTAATGCTTTTTTGGCAAAATTTAAAAGGAAAAAAAAAAGAATTATTGGAATAAAAAGTAATGTGATATGAGTCATATTGATTATTATGTTGTTTTTATGTTGTTCAATTTCACTAAATATAACTCGTATAATTTTACTTTTAAATCAAATTATTATGGTTATGATCATTTTATTTTATAGAAATATGTTGGAGTGGCGAAGTACTTAATAACAGCTAGTTGTTAATAAAACTTAAGTCATGGCTGGTTGGGGTTGGTGAGCTACAGAATCAATTTGGATGGGCGGTGATATTGATTTTAGAAGATTAAAAATAATGGTGGATGTGAGATCAATTACTTTAGCAGTGAGATTGATTACCATAGTTTTGAGATTAAAATTAATGGTGAAATATGTGTTTTAATGCAAAAGTGGTCGTGATGAGATGAAATGTAGTAAGAAGAGAAAATAATCAATAAGTATATTAGATTAAAATTTCTATATAATGAAAATTTTAGATTATTTGTTATTTATTAATAATTTATTTGATTATAGAATGCACTATTTATTTATGTATTTATTTAATTTTGAGTTAATTAATTAATTATATAATTATACAATTATTATATTAAATTAGTGAAATTATTTAAAACGAAAAAATAGAAAAAAAAGCAAAGATTAAATGTCATAAACAGTTCATCACTACACTATAACCCTAAGGGTAAAGATGAAAAAAAAAAGAGACATAAATAAGAAAACGGTATGGTGGAAAGAGGAAAATCTTCACTGGAGTTTCATCTTCCGATGTAAATTTTGGGTTTCAATGTGATCAAGAGGCAACAAATGTGCTAGTTTTTTTGTTATCCAAATACATGCTACAATGGGAATTGGATAAAAAAGTGATAAATTTGCACCATTTGATGGTAAAATTGAGCCGAATAGGACTTTAAGTTTGATTTGGATTTAATCGAAGTGTCGGTAAGGTGCAATTCGCATACTTTTTTATTCACTCGTACTAGAGTTGGTCATTTGGCAAGCATTTCCTTTAGTTCGGTTGAAAGTTATAATCGCACTTGACCCCTTATAAGAGATTAGAGTATTATAAATGCAATGGAAAATCGAGATGCATACTGGACAATAATTTCCATACCATTTATCTTTTATTTCTTGTTTTACTCTTAAATTTATATTGATAAGGCTTAAATACCTTTAATGGATTAGAATTGGCAAAGGGATATACAAAGCCTTTGAATAAAAACTCAATAATCATTCAAGTCTTACAATCATTAAGCCTTTAATCTTGTATTTCGACTCAATTAAACCCTTAATTGGATGAAATCTAGTCACATGACCAAATTCAATCAATCGATCCCCAAATTACAATCGATTGAATTGTTAAAGAGATCTTAGAAAAAAAGGAAAATAGAAAAAAAGAGAAGAAAAAAAGAAAAAAAGATTGTTTTATTTAATTTTCACATATGTTAATTATGCTACATGACAAATTTTCATCTATATTATTGATGTTATATAGGATTTTATCTTGATTGGCAAAAAAGATTAATGATCTTAAGTTTTTCATCCAAATAAGGGTTTAATTGAATTTAAATAAATATTGAAAGATTGATTGATTACAATAAAAAAAATAAAGGTTTGGATTTTTTTTATTCTAGTCAGGGACTTTTTATAACCTTTACCATCAAAATATTACATTTCTTTTCTTATCATATTATTTTTTTCTTATTTTATACCCTTAAACCTATATTTTAATTTTAAATATAAATATATATTGTTTTGAAAAAAATTACCATTATTTTTTGTTTTAAAATTTTATTTTATTATTTATATTTAAATTTGTTTTAATACTTAAACTTCTAATTATAAATTAATTATAAATTAATATATACCAATGTATTTATAGAACAAAACTTTTAAAAATTTTAATATTAAATAATATTAAAATATATAAATAATTTATCCATACAATTTCTTATTAAATATTTAATAGTTATTTTTATTTTTACCTTATCGTTACTTTTATGTTTGCATCAAAATATATATTCTATTACTATTTTTAATTTTATCGTTATAGTAATTAATATCATCACTACTGTAACTAATTTTGCTACCACCATTGTTTTTTATTTCATCATAGTCATTCTCATTATCTAATCAAATGGACTTTTAATCATTGAAGAAAAGATTAAGACATATCATAAAATAAATTAATAAGTAGAACACATTTGTTGTTGGTATTAGTAAGTACATTTGTGGTTCATAATTCATAAATTTAAAATTTTTTTATCATATAATTAGAATAATTACCTGTTACATCAATATGAATTATTTTTCTATTAAAAAAATTTATTATTATTTATCAAATTTTCATTATTTTGAATATAGTTATAATTATTTTTAATACATAATTAATAGGAATATTGTAGTAATTTATAAAAAATTGCCAATGTCAATTTTTTATGAAGCAACATAAAAGTGTTTTGTAATTATGATATGAGGTATTATAGAAATTTTGATTAATTATGGTAAGAAAGATATTTTGTAATTATTGTGGGAGGGATATTATAATAATTTTGATAAATTTTGATAAAAAAGATATTTTAATAATTATGATCATAAGGGCGTCATAATAGTTTTGCCACATTATGGTAGAGGGGACATAATTGTAATTTTAATTAATTTATGGTAAGAGAGTATTTTTATAATTATAATAAAAAGATATTATAATCATTAGGAATCATCTAAGTTCTTAATCAAAGAACTAGAAAGACATTCTAATAATTTCAATGATATTAGTAATTTAATATGTAGTTAATTTTATATTATGTTAAAATTTAATATATGTAATTCAATAAGAGTATTATAGTAATTTTCAAATAAAATTTCACATGTCAAATTTCTATGAAAAGATAATAAGAGTATTTTAGGAATTTAATATGTGATTAATTTTATATTGTTATATTAAAATTTAGGCTAAATGGTAAAAAATGTCCATAAACTATAATTAAAAAATCATTTAAACTTTTAACATTTTATTGTAATCAATTAAGTTTTTAATCTTTTATTTTGACTCAATTAAATCTTTAATCGGATGAAATTTAGTCATGTAATAAAATTGAATCAATTAATCCTCAAATTACAATCAATTGAATCTTTAGAAGGATATCCTTAAAGGGATCTTAAAAGGACGGGAAGAGAAAATAGAAAGGGAAAAGAAAAAAAATATTTTATTTTATTTAATCTTTACATATATTAATTGTGCCATGTGGTAAACTTTCATATATATTTTATTGATGTCTATGAAAATTTATTTTATTTGACAAAAAAATTAACGAATGTTAAATTTTTTAACCAAATAAAGGTTTAATTAGATGCAAATAAATATTGTAATGTTTTATTAATTGTAATAAAAAATTATGGGTTTAGATCATTTTTTAATTATAATTTAAGGACATTTTATATCTTTTAGCCTAAAATTTAATACATAAATTAAAAGAAATATTATAGTAATTTTCAAATAAAATGATACATGTCAAATTTTTATGAAGCAATTATAAAATTTTTTAAAAAATTATGATAAGGAATATTATAATTATTTTGGTCAATTTTAATAGGATGATATTGTCATAATTATGATAAAAGGATATGATGATAATTTTGATAAATTATGATAGCAAAGATATTTTTCATAATTATAACGTAAATATATTATAATAATGGAGGCTTCTAAATGTACCACCCAGACTTTTTTATAAAATCTTAAAAATTTAAAAAAAAAAAAACCTACGTATCGTTCAAGAAGAGATATATATATATTTATAGATATGAATATTAATGGATATTTTCGTCTAAATGAATTTAAATTAAATTAAATAAATATTGGTTTATTTGTGACGAGTAGTACAGTATATTTTTCCCTCCAAAACTGAAAAAAAAAAAAAAAAAAAACAAATAAGGTGGGGACTCACACTAATCAGGATGACACACAAATACTGCTAATCAACCCTCCTTTTCTTTCTCAGCCCTAATTACCTCTCTCTCTCTCTCTCTCTCTCTCTCTCTCTCTTTAAAATCCCTCACTTTTCTTTCAACACACTGTCACAGTAAACAAATACAGAACAAAACAGAATATCAAAGAAAAAAAAAGGGAGAGTAAGAGGGATCAATATCATCGTCTTAGCCGCCGCCATGGACCAGCAATCCCAGCTCGCCGTCATCTTAGGACCCGACCCCGCTCCATTCGAAACCCTAATCTCCCACTTGATGTCCTCCTCCAACGAACAACGTTCTCACGCCGAGGCCTTATTCAATCTTTGCAAGCAATCAGACCCAGACGCTCTCTGTCTCCGCCTCGCCCATCTCCTCCAAGTCTGCGCCCAACCCGAGACTCGTGCCATGGCCGCTATTCTCCTCCGTAAGCTGTTGACCCGTGACGACTCCTATATCTGGCCTCGCCTCAACAGCTCTACCCAGTCCTCCCTCCAAGCGGTTCTTTTGTCTCAAATCCAAGTCGAAAACACTAAAACTTTGTCTAAAAAGTTGTGCGATACTGTTGCGGAGCTTGCTTCCAGTATTTTGCCGGAGAATGGGTGGCCGGAGCTCTTGCCGTTCATGTTCCAATGTGTCTCTTTGGATTCCCCTAGATTACAGGAGTCTGCTTTTTTGATATTTGCACAGCTGAGTCAGTATATTGGGGATGTGTTGACTCCTTTTATAAAGGATCTACACGCTGTGTTCTTAAGGTGCTTGAGTGAAAGTTCTAGTGCCGATGTAAAAATCGCCGCCTTGAATGCGGTCATCAATTTTATTCAGTGTTTGACCAGCTCATCCGATCGGGATAGATTTCAGGATCTTTTGCCAGCGATGATGAGGACCTTGACGGAGGCTTTGAATAACGGGAATGAGGCCACTGCCCAGGAGGCGCTGGAGTTGTTGATTGAGTTGGCAGGGACGGAGCCCCGGTTTATTAGGAGGCAGCTTGTTGATGTGGTGGGGTCTATGCTGCAGATTGCGGAGGCGGAATCACTTGAGGAAGGGACACGCCACTTAGCAATTGAGTTTGTGATTACCTTGGCAGAAGCAAGGGAACGTGCCCCTGGGATGATGAGGAAGTTGCCACAGTTTATTAGTAGGCTATTTGCAATATTGATGAGAATGTTGCTGGATATTGAGGATGATGTAGCATGGCACACTGCTGAAAATGAGGATGAGGATGCTGGAGAAACTAGCAATTACAGTGTTGGACAGGAGTGTTTGGATCGTTTGGCAATTTCCTTGGGTGGAAATACAATTGTTCCTGTTGCATCTGAGCAGTTGCCATCTTATTTGGCTGCTCCTGAGTGGCAAAGACACCATGCTGCGTTGATTGCCCTTGCTCAGATTGCCGAGGGTTGTGCCAAGGTATACCTACTATTATAATATGTAAAAAATTAAAATATGCTTTAACATGGTTATTGCCGTTATTTTAGTTCTTTGTAGTTTGCACTAGTCCAAGCTTTTACTTAATTCAGTATTTACATTTATTTGGTATCAAGTTGTTGCTCTTTGTAAGCACTAGTAGTGCTATTTGCTACATGACATGATTGCTGTGTCGAGCTCTTTAAATGGACTAATAAAAATTGCTTCCTTGGTAATGGTTGGCCGCCCTCCCATTGAGTATGATTCTAAATGCGCTATTAATGAAGTTACTTATTCAGTTTGATTCATGTTATTTTCCATTTACTACTTGAACAATGGGATGGAACTTTGTTTTGGTATATGTTGATTCTAATATACAATTTATGTTTGAAAGAAAAAAATGAGATCACATATTTGCTGCTTAAATTTGATGATCATAGTAGAGAGTTCAGATCATGTCCCTATTTATGTTGAATTTTAATTCGTTGCTGGACTGGCAGGTTATGATTAAGAATTTGGAACAAGTGGTTTCTATGGTCTTGAACTCCTTTCATGATTCCCACCCCCGTGTGAGGTGGGCAGCTATTAATGCAATCGGGCAATTGTCTACTGACTTGGGTCCAGATTTGCAGAACCAATATCACCAAAGAGTATTGCCAGCGTTAGCTGCTGCTATGGATGATTTCCAAAATCCGCGAGTACAGGTTGGGCACAGATATATAAGTTTGCTTTCATTACTCTAGATTATGCTTTTGACTGTTGCTAAAGATTTGTTTCACGCTATGATTCCCTCATGGTGCTTTATGTAGAGATAACTTTTTCATGCTATCTTTCCCTTTCTGTTTGTGTCTGCATTTGTGGTATAATTGATAACCTCTCTCTCTCTCTCTCTCCATAAACAACAACAACCCATCCCTTTTCTGTAATGTCCTGATTCTAAAGTTGTCTATGCATGTGTTTGGTGTCTTTTTGGTGAATCCCTTGCTTTATGTAAAATTTATCTGAGTTGATTTGTTCTAATTTGGTGTTATCGATATCTTTTTAATCAACAAAGTACTTCATATAATATAATATAATGAGAGCTCACAATTTTTTCCTGTTTGGAACATTTCAACTAGTATTTTCATCACTCGTCAGAATTCATTTGTGGCATTATTGAACATTTCTAAATAATCAACTGATATGTTTTCAACTAATGACTACAAAGATTTTAAATTTCATTATAGAATTCTCTATCTTATCTCTTCTTGAAAGACAAAATAGAACTTGGACTTTAAGTGTTGCTAGCTCCTTTATAGATTATCCTCTCAAGTGGTGGATGCATTTGCAAGAGTGTCATAACTGATTGTGAAGCAAATTAATTTATTGGAAAGTGGATGCTGTATCAGTGGGAATTTCCTGAATATTTATGGATTATGGAAAAAACCCTCGTTTAAGTCTTCATGTAGGTATTGAATTAATGATACTTAGTTCCAGTTTATTGATTAGCCTCTGATGCCCATGTTCAGGAAACTGAAGTTTATAGATTAGCTTCTGATTCCAGTTTATAGATAGATGCAGCTATGCCTGCATTCAGGAAACTGAAGTAAACTAGCTTATGCTCTTTGTGTGAAAATTTAAGAGTCTTATTGTAATTTCAGAGTTTTTTTTGTTTTTATTTTTTCTTATTTCCTTCTAGTCAGGTACTTGTATTGTCAAGATTTTATTGTTTTCTTTGAATAACGGTTTGTTTTGCTATATCTATTTATGTAACAGGCCCATGCTTCTTCAGCTGTGCTCAACTTCAGTGAGAACTGCACTCCAGAAATTTTAACACCTTACTTGGATGGAATAGTTAGCAAATTGCTGGTGCTTTTACAGGTATGACAATTGGAGTTATAAATGTCACATCAAGAATGCATAAATTCACTTTATGGAAGGAGATTTTGTTTTGTTTTGTTTTTTTTTTTGTCTAAATATGGTATATATCATGCAGAATGGGAAACAGATGGTGCAAGAAGGTGCCTTGACTGCTTTGGCATCAGTTGCTGACTCATCTCAGGTATAGATTTTACCCAAAAGAAAGCTAGATTGATCATTAATTTATATCTTATATATGGGTAACTCAGTTAAATTATATGGGGGTTTGCAGGAGTACTTCCAAAAATATTATGATGCAGTTATGCCTTACCTGAAAACTATCTTGGTGAATGCAACCGACAAATCTACTCGTGTGCTTCGAGCGAAATCCATGGAATGTATTAGTCTTGTTGGAATGGCTGTTGGAAAGGAGAAGTTCAGAGATGATGCTAAGCAGGTTGGTAGGCGTGTAGAAACACCATGCCCTTTATCAATTTGTTTTCATTTCCTCTTCTGGTTATTTTCTTGGATCTGAAATGTCATGGATGGGTGGTATAACATTGAGTTATTTGAGTTTAGTGATACCATTTATTAGGGAGTACAATGGTGCAATTTGAAGCAAGTATTCACCTTCCCTTCATGGTCCTAAGAGAAATATGCATTTCTTGTTCCTTGAAATTTATTGGGGTGGGCTGGGCTGGATATCAACTTGTGGCAGGTGCCTATCAGGTCGATCTATTATTGAATTTTACCACTGATTATATCACATTTGAAGTTAGTAAAATCTGAATATTTTTGATGCTTGTACACACACACATTCCTCATATACTTGTTCCTGAACCAAACCAATTATTTAATTTTATAATTGCCTTTCTTTGTCCATGAGAATGCAGACTATAGCACCTGCTTGCAGATCTCCGTTAGTTTCCACATTTTCACGAGTATTGTTTTATTATTATTATTATTATCAGTTGATAAAGAAATGTTATTCAAGTCTCTCTTTATAATGCCAAAATTTGCATTAGATGAATCAATAGAATGCTTAAGTACTTTTTTCCCTTTTTGTTTTGAAGTTTATATATTATACATGAAGAAACTTAGTGCATATCAGTTGTACACTATTCTGTTTTGTGTCAATAGACCCACCTGCACCCTTATGGTGGCATTTGGTGTAGGATGATCTAATCACCGAGATTATATTACTGTGTTTGGTAGTAACTTGGGAATCCTAAGTGGCAGGGATCTTATATCACCGAGTCATTAGATCACTGTCTTGTGGGATGGTCGGAATCCCATCTAAAAGGGTTAGAAAGTTTTATCATTGAGGGAAAGTGATCTTCAAAATCAGTTTTGGACAAATATACCTGGAATTTGTGCCGAGCAAAATATGTTCTGTCCAAGTATTTAGTTTTTATAAGCAAATTTTCACTTTTTAATCATTTTAGACAAGTTATGTCTCCTTAAATGTGAACATGCCAGTTATTTTGAATTATACTCATCAGATAGTTCTTCATACCTTATAATTTTCTGTAGATCAATGAATTCTTAGTTAATAAATTTGTCATTCAATAAAATTGAAATTGTTGCTTTTCTTTAATAATAAGGTCATATTGGGTGTTTTATATCCAGCTGTCTTTTTTCTCAATGCAATACCAAACACAATAATTTATAATTTACACTAAACATGGTAAGCTAAGATCACTAGTGATCAAATAACCTTGGTGATTTTATCACCATGGTGATCTTAAAAGTGATGCCAAATGTTACCTACAGTTGACATGTGCCTTATGTAATTTGTAGCATGCACTTTCCTTTTTGTTTTTCTTATTGCTCTTTGTTTAATTTCATTATACTGTTACAATTATATTGATATTTTTCCATCGATTGTTGGATATCTTGTATTTTCTTGCATCAAAGATAAGAATACCTTTTATCTTACTTTTTTCCTTCTTGCAAGGTTATGGAAGTGCTTATGTCATTGCAAGGATCCCAAATGGAAACAGATGATCCGACAACAAGTTACATGCTGCAAGTATGCCCATGGCATAGAAAATGCATAGACTGTATCATAATATCTTTCACATGTTTATTTGTCCTTGCTTATGATAATGTCACCATGTTACAGGCATGGGCGAGACTCTGCAAGTGCTTGGGACAAGACTTCCTCCCATACATGAGTGTTGTCATGCCTCCCCTTCTTCAGTCTGCTCAACTTAAGCCAGATGTAACTATTACATCTGCAGATTCAGATAATGATATTGAGGACTCTGATGATGAAAGGTTATACTTTGTTACTGTTTTAACTAATATATTTTGCCAATAAGCAACATAAATGTTGATGCATGCATGTGTATCTTGTTTATCCTCCCCACTCATTTGTATAGGTAAAAAACTCTATCTCCTCTCTCTTCTACTTCTCTCTATGTTATGCAGAAACACAGACAATCTGAGAAACACACACTCGCTCTTGCGTCTGCACACTCACTCACTCACTCACTCACCATCTGCACACAACATCGACACACACCTGCTGTGTTCATCTATGGCTGGTGCCTGTCCTATAGCAATAGCATGTTATTTTGCACTATGTTATTTGGTGTTATAGTAAGATTATATCTTGTATTGCACACAGTATGGAAACCATTACACTAGGGGACAAAAGAATTGGGATCAAGACTAGTGTCCTGGAGGAAAAGGCTACAGCATGTAACATGCTTTGTTGCTACGCTGATGAGTTGAAGGAAGGATTTTTTCCATGGATTGATCAGGTTTTTTTTTTTTTAATTCATTGTATTGGGTTATTATTCTAAACTTTCTAGTAATCAGATACTAGCGGTGGACATATGATGCAGGTTGCCCCGACTCTAGTTCCTCTTCTTAAATTTTATTTCCACGAAGAAGTTAGAAAAGCTGCTGTTTCAGGTAGAAAAGTGATAATATACACTTTTCTCTTTTACTTAAAATATTTTCTTTTTCAAGTTTGTTAGGCTTTTGTTAATTCTGTCTTGGCCTCTTTTTGTTTCTAGCCATGCCAGAGTTGTTGCGTTCTGCAAAATTGGCCATTGAGAAGGGAATGGCTCAAGGGCGTAACGAGACCTATGTAAAGCAATTGTCTGACTACATTATTCCGGCTCTAGTGGAGGCATTACACAAGGTTATTGTTGTTTACTCTTATGAGTGTTCATGTATTGAAGCTCTAATTGCATAGTTGATGTATTTTTTGTCATGGATAATACCTAAATTGCCATATTCTTGCAGGAACCTGATATGGAAATATGCGCAAGCATGTTAGATGCATTGAATGAATGCATACAGGTTTGTTCTATTATGAAATGAAGCTAATTATGTAGTCTCTTCTGTTCACTGTTATCTGTTTGAAATTATTCTGCTTTGGATAAATATTGTTGGGCAACAGACAGTTAGAAGCAAAAATTTATTTCAATTAGTAAATAAATTAATCAGGGATAGCTTGAACTTAATATGGTATTTCAATAGCAGCTAATAAGTTGAACTAATTCCTGAATTTAACCTGTGTTGTTGATTTTCCTTAAAAAGTGTACCCAGTATTCTCCTGGGCTGTTTTTGAGTTCTCATTTCTTTTTCTTTTATTTGATATATGTAATTAAGCAATCGAGAAAGCATTTTGGACTTCCATTCATAACTTTTGTCTTTTCATTCGTTTTAATTGACATGCTTCTGTACCTTTGACCAGAGAAGTTCTTTGGTTTAATCTAACTTTGTCTCTTTGTTGTTGCCATTGTTTATATTTTATGAATTCATAACTCTTTATTTGAAATGCCTGAACTTTTTTTTTTCTTTCAGATCTGTGGTACCCTTCTTGATGAAAGTCAGGTTAGATCTATTGTTGATGAGATAAAACAATTAATCACAGCTAGTGCGAGCAGAAAAAGAGAGAGAGCTGAAAGAGCCAAAGCTGAAGACTTTGATGCTGAGGAGGGGGAGTTAATTAAAGAGGAAAATGAGCAAGAGGAAGAAGTCTTTGATCAGGTAAGTCTTCAAATAAAATCTATGGTTATAGGGCACATTAGTTACAGGCTAACATTTATTTATCTATTTTTCTTTCTGAACCCATAAAGTTTCCTCTGTCTTGCCTTGATGAGCATTCTGCTTCCAGGTGGGTGAAATCTTGGGAACTTTGATCAAAACATTTAAAGCTTCTTTCTTGCCTTTCTTTGATGAGCTATCTTCATATCTTACACCTATGTGGGTAAGTTCTGAGAAAGTTGTCTCTGTTTGCCAAATCAATTTACATTTGTTGAGGAACTTCCAAAAGAAAAATTTTCTTTACTGAAATATACACATTTCTTTCTCTTTCTATCTCTCTTTGTGTGTCTAAAATACAGGGCAAAGATAAGACAGCTGAAGAAAGAAGAATTGCAATTTGTATTTTTGATGATGTTGCAGAGCAGTGTCATGAGACAGCTCTAAAGTAAGTTGCTTAATTTTCTTATACTAATTACCGTTATATAGAATCTTTTGATGCAATAGCTGTACTGTGGTTGAAACAGATATTATGAAACATATCTTCCTTTCATATTGGAGGCTTCCAATGATGAGAACCCAGATGTGCGGCAGGTTTGTACTTTCTTACTTCTGGTATCTAAAGCACCTTAGATTGGCGAGCAATTCATTCAATTTTATGATTTATGATTTTATGTTTCAGGCAGCGGTATATGGTCTTGGTGTTTGTGCAGAATTTGGTGGACCTGTATTTAAGCCACTTGTTGGAGGTAAATTTTGCATGACAGTCTATGAGGTGTTTTATTTCTTGTAAGAATAACATATATTTGTGGCTTTGTCCAGAGGCTCTATCAAGGTTAAATGCTGTAATACGGCATCCTAACGCTTTGCAACCCGAAAATATTATGGCATATGATAATGCTGTTTCTGCTCTAGGAAAAATATGCCTGTTCCACCGCAACAGTATTGATGCAGCTCAGGTATGGCGACCGCTAAAATTAGCTTTCCAAGTTAATTGGATATTTTGATATGAAAGGAGAGGAATCTTTGATTTGCATTAAGCACATGCACATTTCTGAGCTATTGTGTGAAGTCTCCAAATGCCTTTTCTTGAAAACCAGCGCCATTTGTGACGGACCATGAGCCATATGCACAGAAATAGTAATACTGCTAGTATGGGTTAACACACAGTGCCTTTTATTTGACCTTGAAACTATAGCACAATTATCCAATATTCCAATTGACTCTTAAGGTAGAGGAGAACCTGGTGAAATTGAAAATTACTTTTTTTTTTGTTTTTCCCCTCTTCATTTTTTATTAGTGGGAAATTTTGCAAAAATAAGAAATTTAAGGGGCTTGTGATTTGTTCATGCATACATATCGTAATTTATCTACATATAGTTTTATGTATATGTAGCTGAACATCAAATTAGGAACCATTTTGTCTTAAAATAGACTGACCGTTTTCTTGAGGGTAATTCCAAGGTTGTCAATATAAAACCAACAAACATTACCCTTTTTCTTTAAAAATGGTACATTCCAATACAGTGTAGCACAGTGTATGGGTTTGGATTCAATGGTATTTTCTTTAAAAAGGTCCAAGTTTTTATTTTGCCGAGATGAGCTTTTTTGTTGAAATTTGAAACAACCGAAATATGCTTGTATGACTGGCGCATGATGATTCAGTTTGATAGGCACTAAACATTGCAGAGAAGGGGATGTATTGGTTTTTGATGAAAACTGGTGTGGACTGGATAGTATCAGTATGGTATTGAATATTGATAACATTAGGTAACATTCTAATCTTAAATTTTGTTTCAGATAGAGTGGTATAAAACCATTAGTGATAGGAATATTCTTGATCTGTCACTGGTAATCCTTCATCACTCTGGGTGTGATGGATTTAGACATATATCTAAATTACAGAGGTGTATCATGAGGATGGTCTGATGGCAGGCATATATCTAAATGCTAAACACAGCTTTTCTTTTCATTAGATTACATGTATAAGTATAAAGGACAATAGGATTTAGCATTACATATATGACAACTATTACATCTAACGAGCTAACTAAACCCTCACAATCCAATGACAGAAAGCAATGAACTAATTTAACAAAGCCCTCTCATGGTGGACTTGAACTTGGGATCTTAAGATTCCAGAGCCTACTCCTTGCCCTTGAGACTGGTCCTTGTAGGCATGTTAAACAAAGCTTTAATACTTACATAGATATGTGTAATTTCCTCCCCTTCAACTTCCCCTCTTTCCCCACATAAAATACACACTTTTTCTAATCGACATCCTGAATTGGTATATTAAATGGACATCCATATGTTATGTTACATAATGTATAATGCTTTATTGTGAAACATTTCATATTGGTGGTTAATGTTGCTTGTTGATCATCTCTATGCATTAATACATATAAGATATTCTACAATCTCCGATTGTTTGCAGTGGTTCTGTATCATACGTTTTTTGACCAATTCTGCATTGTATTTTTCACTAAAGTAATGCTGGTTGTGCATGTCTTAATGCTTATTTTGATACTTTATTTCTGTTTTCTTTATGTTGGGTTGCCTTGAACATACATCCTTTCATGTTTGGTAGATTGTTCCTGCATGGTTAAACTGCTTGCCAATAAAAGGTGATCTGATTGAAGCCAAAGTTGTTCATGAACAACTTTGTTCAATGGTGGAGAGGTAACAATCTGCCGTGTTGATTTGACCTTACTTATCTCCTTTCAACAGTTTATATTTTGCCTCAATATACTGTTACTGCCTATTATCAAACAATGTATCTAATGTGTGTTCAGGTCAGACAATGAAGTTTTGGGTCCCAACCAACAGTATCTTCCAAAGATTGTTGCAGTATTTGCCGAGGTAAAAATTTTAAGTTAGTTTATTGAAATCTTCTTAACCTAAAGGCTATTTTGTTTGAACTGCTTGTTCTGAACAAACAATACAATGAGAAATGGAAAATGTCTGATGTGTAACCTGTCTATTTTATTTATTTGGTAGTTAGGTATTTAGGTCCGCTTGGTGCACAAGATGATGGATAGGATAGATTAAGGAGATGTTTGTTTGTCAGATATTCTATTGTCGACTCCACTAAGAGTTAGTTTAGCATTGTTGTGGTGGTTGAAAAAAGTTTGGGTTGAAAAAAGTGCGTTTAAAACGTGTGGAACAGTATCTTCCAAAGACTGTTGCAGTATTTGCCTAGTTAAAAATATTAAGTTAGCTTATTAAAATCTTCTTAACCTAAAGGCTATTTTGTTTGAACTGCTTGTTCTGAACAAACAATATGATGAGAAATGGAAAATGTCTGTTGTGTAACCTGTCTGTTTTATTTATTTGGTAGTTAGGTATTTAGGTCCTCTTGATGCACAAGATATTGGATAGGATAGGATAGATTAAGGAGATGTCTCTTTGTCAGATATTCTATTATTGACTCCACTAACGGCTAGTTTAGCATTGCTGTGGTTGAAAAATGTTTTGTTGAAAAAAGTGCATTTAAAAAGCGAGGTGAGAAAAGTGTGATTAGAAATTTTAAGTGTTTGATATTGTTGTGAAAAAGTGCTAAGTTATTGAAATGTCTAAAATAATATGTATAAAATAATAAAATATTAGAAATATAGGATAATAAAGTGATTTTTTTATTCTAAATGCATTTTTTCATTGCAAAGCATCTCTTGAGGAGCTTTGTGGTTTGGGTTGGAAAATCAAGTTTTTAAATTGAAAAGTCAAAATTTTTGTTGTTTTTTAGCATCATGTTTGGGTCAAAAGCAGTTTTTGAACGCAAAAGTTACTTATAACAAAGGATGGCAATTAGTTGAGTTGGGATGTGCTTTTGCTTGTTTCGGTTTCGATTTGACTTCAAAATATTATTTTTCATACCCAACTTGCATATGTATAAAATCATAATTGATCTGACCTGAAATTATTTAAATAATTTTAATTTAATATAATATTCATAAAGTATTATTTTTTAATATAAATTACATTTTAATTATACATAAATATAATATTTTTATTAAGTTAATTTTTTAAATTAAAATATTAAATAATAATTTTATTAATATAATACATATATAAATATAAAATTAAATAAATAATAAAAAAATCTTTTTTTATATTGAGTCAGGTTTACATAAAATCCGACTTCGACTCGATCTCGGTTTTAGAAAAAAATTCGACCCAAAATCTAATTTTAAAAGAAAAAACCCTGCAAGGTTGGGTTGAAATTTGACAATTTCGGGTAGATTTCCTTACTTTCAATAGCAATGTTAAACGATCATGTTCAATGCATAGGATTATCAATAAAATATGATGATAATTATTCTATCTCATATTTGATTTGTATCTAAAGAGAGGGATAGAGATTGCAAGAAGGATTAATATCCTATTAGCATAGGATCTTTCAATCCTCTCCAAGTTATTTTTAATCAATGGATTAAATTTACATGTTCAATTATAACCTTAAAAATTTTATCAATAATTTAAATTATTTAAATTTTGATGAAGGATAATTTTAACAAATAAATAAATTATCTTATTATAATCCTTGCATACATCAAACACAAAATAGGATGGGATTATTTAATATAATCCTATTCATAACATTATCTTATCCTATCTTATCATAATCTTGTATGCCAAACATAAGCTAAGTTTATCTTGATTTGGAGGCATTGTTCCATAATTAAACTAAATGAGAAACTTTTTGTCAAGTTGACAATAGACTCTAGTGGAGTACAAACATGGCTATACTTTTGTGGCTTTGTTTTGTCTCACCTATCTAGCTTTTGTTGCTCTAACGTGAGTATGGATATTCATAAACATTATGTTATACATGTGTTAGTGTCTGGGCACATACATGAGACATTTATTCATTAATCAATTTCTTTTGTTTCAACCTCTTTAATCTTAATTCTATTGATTTAATATAAAATTCATACGGACATGTTGAAGCTTGAATAATTCCTATTGTGTTTTTAAAGTAGCGTGTGTGACTGAGTCTTAGCCTCATTGATGCAAAAATCTTTCTTTGCTTTTGGTTTTAGGGGTGGGAAAATTGTAAAAGAAACAAAGGTTGGAAAGTAATTGTAGAAATTTGACTCTTCTATATTAGTGTAGATCTGATTCTCCTACATTAATACAACTCGATTTTCTAATTTATTTTGGGAATATTTCTCATTTATTCTTCTGATTTAGTCAACTATTTTGATTGTCAAGCTTTTAGGGATTTGTTTCTATTTTAGAATATAATAATTCTCCTTTTTATTATTTTTTGTTTTCTATTTCATGTAAGTTGTTTCCAAATAAGGAACACTGTTCCTATTTATTTAGATGTACTTCTTCATTCTAGATTGAGTAAGAATAAATAAGGGCAATTGTTCTTTAAGTTTTCTACATGGTATCAAAGCAAGTCGGCTTGAATCATTAGATTGTGGTCACACAAGTTTCCATTATGGCTAGCAAGAGTGAGAACTCTTCTTTTGCAGAGGTATGGCATGAAGAAAGTCACAAAGAGGTGACGCTTTAACAAACCCTTCAAAACAAGTTTGTAACCTTTGGAACTAGTTTACTAGCACAAAAAAGTAATTTCTTAAATGCCGTAAGTGTTCAACGGGAAAATACATAATCTTGGATTGTTGATTCAGGAGCATCAGATCACATGATTGGAGATGCATCCTTATTCAACACATGTAGACCTTGCTATGATAGTTTTTCTGTAAAAATTACTGATGGCAAGTTCTATTGTAGTTTCAAAAGACATAACACTTGACTCTGTCTTCCATGTCCCTAATTTAAGCTGTAACCTACTTTTTATCAGTAAGCTTACGAAGGATAGATGTCTCACTAAATTTTTTTCCCAACTTGTGTGAATTTTAGGAATTAGGCTCGGGGAGGATTATTGGCAGTGCTAGGATGTGTGCAGGGCTTTACCTTTTTCAAGATGATGCACTTGAGAGAACACAAAATTCTTGTACAACCTTTGCCTCTAGTACTAGTAAGGATGACCTTATCATGTTGTGGCATTATAGATTAGGACATCCAAATATTTCATACTTAAAAAGGCTACTTCCCTCATTATTCATAACATCTTTGAAGATTTTCATTGTGAAATTTGTCAACTTTTCAAGCACACTTGAAATACCTATCCTAGCATTTTCTATAAATCATCTTAACCTTTTTCAATAATTCACAGTGACATTTGAGGTTTGTCAAGAGTTAACAATATCACAGGTTCTAAGTGGTTTGTTATATTCATCGATGATCATACTTGACTCGCTTGAGTATTCCTTATGAATGAAAAATCCAATGTTAGCCAAATCTTTCAAAACTTCAATAGCATGGTACAAACCCAATTCCAAGCCAAAATCCAAGTCTTAAAAATTGACAATGGAAGGGAATACTTCAACTCTATTCTTGGTCCTTACCTTACAAATTATAGCATTATCCATCAAAGCTTTTGCGTTGACATTCCATAGCAAAATAAGGTTAGTATTGTACATAGCCCAGCACTAAAAATCAACTTGATCCAAGTCTCCAAGAACTTGAAACTAACACAAATAATGTCTTTATTGGATTTGAAACTGAAACTTGGGAGCCAGCTGGTGACCTTGACATTTCTATTGCATTAAGAAAAGATGTGAGATCATGCACCTGGTACCTTATCTGCAAGTACATTTGATATTACAGGTTAAATCAAAACTTTTGAGCCTCTACTACTAACCTTGGCAATGTGCAAATTCCAAAAAATATTCATGAAGCCCTTAATGAAATAGATTGAAAGGTAGCAGTTCTTGAAGAAATCAAGGCACTAGAGAATAATGGGACATGGGAAATTTCAGATTTGCCCAAAGGAAAAAACCCGGTTTGATGTAAGTGGATCTTCACAATAAAACACAATGTAGATGGAAGTATAAACAGGTTCAAAGCTATACTTGTTCCAAAAGGGTTCATTCAATCCTATGGGATAAACTATGAGGAGACATTTACTTTGGTAGCCAAACTCAATTCAATTAGAGTTCTATTGTCACTAGCGGCCAACTTGATTGGCCTTTCCACCAACTTGACATCAAGAATGCATTCTTAAATGGTGATTTGGAGGAGGATGTTTACATGGAAATTCCTCTTGGTTTCGAAAGGCAAGACAACATGGGCAAAGTGTGCAAACTTCGAAAATCTTTGTATGGACTTAAACATTCTCCTCGGGCTTGGTTTGAACGGTAGACCAAGGCAATGAAGAGGTATGGATTCTTTCAATGTTAGTTTGACTATACTATGTTTGTTAAGTTCACTAATGTAGGAAAAATAGTTATTCTTGTTGTTTATGTGGATGATATCATAATCATCGAAGACCACAAGGAAGGAATAGATGATTTGAAGAAACTCCTTGCAAAAGAGTTTGAAATAAAGGACCTGGGGTTCTTTAAATATTTCCTTGAAATGAAAGTGGTTCTGTCTAAGAATGAAATATTAGTGTCTCAACGTATGTGCTTGATTTACTTAAAGAAATTGGCATGATTGGATGCAAACCTGCCAATACACCCATGGACTCAACTAATAAAATTGGAAGTGAAAATGGAAGCTCGTGCATGGACAAAGGGCGATACCAAAGACTAGTTAGGAACCTTATTTACCTTTCCCACATACGACCTGATATCGAGTTTGTAGTAAGGATGGTGAGTAGATACATGAATAATCCAACCAAAGGAGCATTTTAAGGTTGTTCATCGCATCCTACAGTACTTAAAGAAGAGTCCTGGTGAAGGTCTATATTTTAAGAAGTCAATTGGCAGGGGCAGTCGAGGTGTACATTGATGTTGATTAGGCTGGATCAGTAATAGATAAAAGGTCTACTATTGGATATTGCACTTATGTTTGGGGCAATTTAATCACTTAGAGAAGTAAAAAGCAAGTTGTTGTAGCTAGAAGCAGTGCTGAGGCTGAGTTTAGAGCAATGTCCCATGATATTTGTGAAGGAAAAAGGGACCTATCACATCGATGGATTATAAATCCGATATTACTTCTAAGCAATACCAATCAAATCGACTAAAAATGTATGATTATGATGTTGGATCATGTAATATTCATCTTGACAAGAAATTATCTAATAATATGATAAAATATGTATCACAAACACAAAGGCTATAGCTCAGTTAGGTAGAGCACCTCGTTTACACGATTGCCAATGTTTTTCAGGGGAGTTTATCATGCAATCAAAAAAAATTGATCCTTTTGAGAAATCGATGTCTTACTCCATTACTTTTCAGGAACAAAACAAGAGAACAATAGCCTGACAAATGGTTCGGTTCGATTCGGGTGCCATTTAGGCAGGAGCATGATCCGAATCGAACCTATCATTGATTTGAGATATTGATAGGGCGAATACCCAGTCTATTCAATGCTAGGCATAATGAGTATAAGGACCTCAAAAATTCTCTTTTCGTCCTATGAATCTTAAGGTGTATGAAGTTTCATCTTTGATTTTTTAATCAGGATGATAGAGACTTCATTTAACTTAGGTTGATCTAGGCCAGAAGCAGACCTACGTCAAGATAAACTTTCCCTTCTTTGAAACACTTTGGTTAAGGTTATTTGGAGAATTAAAAGTTTAGATTGGGACATCTATGACATTGTTTTGTGACAATAAGGCTACTATAAATGTTGCCAAAAATCATGATAAACCAAAAATCCTGTTTATCATGATAAGACCAAGCACATAAAGTTGGACCGACATTTCGTAAAGGAAAAGATAGAAAATGGGTTGGTCAAACTGGCCTATATCCTTAAAAGTTCACAAATTGCATATATTCTTACTAAAGCTCTTTTTAGAAGCATTTTTTATGAATTGAAATCCAAGTTGAGTATGACTAACATTCATAACCCAACTTAAGGGGGAGTGTAGAAATATGATTCTCCTACATTGGTGCAGATCTGATTCTCTTACATTAGTGTAGCTTGATTTTCTAATTTATTTTGGAATATTTATCATTTATTCTTTTGATTTAGTTAACTATTTTGATTGTTAAGTTTTTAGGGATGTGTTTTTATTTTAGAATAGAATAATTCTCTTTCCTTTTATTATTTTATGTTTTTTGTTTCATATAAGTTGTTTCCTAATAAGGAACTTCACTGTTTCTATTTATTTAAATGTATTCCTTCATTCTAGATTGAATAAGAAGAAATAAGGACAATTGCTCTTTAAGTTTTCTACAGTAATGTACATATTTCATGTAATAAGGAAAGAACTAATTACAATTTTGAGACTTGAATTTTGGAAAAATGTACAAATTGGTAATTAAAGAAATAAAATGTACTATTTGCACTTTGAACTTTTAAATAATGTACAATTTGAACCTTAAACTTCAAAATTATGTATGTATTAACCCAAAAATCTAATCTTGTTAATCATATTAATTATATATGCGATATTTTACAAATATCAAAATTTTTTTCCAATTTAATTTTAAAAAAATATATTTTACTTGAATCATAAATATTATCTAAGCTCGGTTAATCATTTTGTCACATGACATTTCTATAAAGGTTTTTACAAAATATTTAACATTTTTATTTAACAAACAATGTTTTATATATAACAAAATTATACTAGTTAGATATCATATAGGTGAGTTAAGTTAATAATAGTTGAATATGAATTAACATGATATATTATTTAAAAGTTTATGGCGTAAATTGTACATTTTATTTTTTTTAAGTACCAATGTGTATATTTTCTTAAACTTTAAGTATTAAAAGTGTAATTAACTCCAAAAAAAAGTGTAATTAACTCAATAAAGAAATAACAACTTTGAAAGGACTAAAAGCTGAATTCTTTTATAGGTGTAAAGTCTGAGTATGTTCTCTTACAGATGGTTGTTTTGTAGGTTCTATGTGGTAAGGATCTAGCCACAGAACAAACTGCAAGTCGGATGGTCAATCTACTGAGGCAGCTTCAGCAGACTTTGCCACCAGCAACATTAGCCTCAACTTGGTCATCTTTGCAGCCACAGCAACAGCTTGCATTGCAATCCATCCTCTCCTCATAGCATATTGGCTTGACAGGTAACGTTCTGGTTTTGAACGAATGCAATGTCCTGTCTGTGTTGAAGCATATCTGTTGCCAATTCTTTTCCCCAAGAAGGTTACGAGCGCTTGTTTTTGCATGATGTTTTACTCCATGGCTACGAAGCTTTTGATTGAGTGTGAAAAAGTCATTAGTGCGGTTGAAATGAATCCTTTTTCCTTTTAGAATGCGTCTATTACAAAGTTTCTATTTATAATATGGGGGTAATGTTTGGAAAAGAAGGGAGATGTGGTTGGTGGTCTGTGAGCATTTTTGTGGGTCAGTGCATGGGGTATGAGGGTTGTCAGTTGGGCAATTCTTGTAGCAGTTTTGTCTGTGTTTTTGGTTTCAGTTTTACACACAAAATTTCCCGATTGTGATCATATATATGGACTGAAATTTTGAATAGTTATTCTTTCATCATGTTTGCAATTTTGATCATAAAAAGCAATAAAATAATGGAAGTTTTCTCGTGTGTACCTTTCCTTATTTTTTTTAGTTGTGAATTATTGCGCTTCAAGCTTCTCAATTTATTCGAATTATGCTTGTTGGGGGAACGTGGAGTTTATTTTCCAATCTGGGATAAACTTTTTCCACAAATTCCCCCACTCTTTTTTTTTTTTTTTTTTTTTTTTTTCTGCCTTTAGTTTAGCCTTTTCGTTGTACGTTCCTTCTCTTTTAACAGCGTTATACAAATTTATGGATTGGTCCATGGGTGATTATGGTTCGGATTGGATTCGGTTTGGTTTTTCAAATAATTTATAGTATTATGAAAATTTAAAATTTAAATCAGAATTGAGTTTTTTTTTTAAATTGATTCTATTTGAATTAAATTGTATGGGTTCAATTCGGTTTGGTCCATTGGTTTTTAAAATTTATTTTTTTATTTTTTATATATTATTTTAATAGGATTTTAATATATTTAACTAGATTTATATGTAAAATAATTGTTTTTATTTTATAAAATTTAAAATATATAAAAAATTAATAAAAATATATAATTCAATTTGATTTGAATTTTTTTTTATTTTTTAAATTACAATTCGAAATTCGATTTAAATTTAATATATTTATTTAATATTTGAATTTGATTCGAACCAAATAAAAAAATTGAAAATTGAATATTATGGTTTTGATTTAGTTTTCGATTTTCTTGAATTTTTTCACTTTGATGTTGGTTTAAGGAAATGCAAAAGTTCTTGTCTTTATTTTTATTTTTTCTTTTTTAGTGTGTTTTGTACATTAGTTTCTTGTCTTTATTTTTATTTTTTCTTTTTTAGTGTGTTTTGTACATTAGTAAAAGATGTCACGAAGGATCTTTGAATAAATAAATAATATCATGAATGATTTTTAAATTATAATAAAATATTTAATATGATATATTTTTTTAAAAAATATTTAATTTAGTATTTAAATTATGAGTTTATGAATTAATTATGTTAGAGGTACATTTACATTAGTTAATAGATTTATTTTTTAGATGTTATATTAAAGATTTTTAAAATTTTAGTATCAAATTAAACATTTTACTATAGATTAGGATCATTAATAGCATTAACCTTTAAGATAGTTAGGGTTAGATTTGGTTTTTATTTTTGCTAATTGTTTGTTTGTAGTTATTTTATCTATATTATATAATATGCATATAAAAGTACATATGTTAAAAAAAAATTAAGTTGATAAAACATATATTTTTAAATTATCATTTATCATAAAATAATTTTTAATTAATTCTTATTGTGGGTTCTAAAAAATTTTGTTTCATTCCTTGTACAATTTTGTTTGTACTAAGGGAGCAATTAATTTTTGAAATTTAACTTTTCCTTTTGAAATCTAATAGTCGATGATTCTTTGGTTTGGTTTAGAAGCTTTCCTTGTGGTGAATCTTATATTTTCAATAATGTCAAAAAAGGGAAAAATAAGAGGAATAAAAAACTCTATTTTCTTTGAATTTTTTTGGATTATGGAGGAAAAGTAAAAATATGCTCAGTTGTCATCATTTAATTACATTTTTAGATTATATGGATAGCATTATTTACATTAGAAAATATATTGATGACGTTATTAAGATAAAAATGTGATTTTTATTAAAAATATATTATAAAAAAATTACTTTTCAAAATTCAAGAAAAACATTGTTTTTAAAATAAAAAACGTGATCTTTATTAAAAATATGATTTTTTTTTTTGGAATTTAACAAAAATTGTTTTAAAAATAAAAAGCATTGTTTTTGTTGAAAATACGAAAAAATTATTTTTCAGAATTTATTAGTTTCAGCGAAAATGATATTTTTAAAATTAAAAGAGTAGTTTTTATTGAAAATATATTATGAAAAAATTTATTATTACATATAATATATATGCAATAGAACTTAAAATACTTTTATTTAAACAATTTAACAAAAATATTAAATGCAAATTTTGCATGTTAAATAAACAAAAATTTAAATAATCACTTGTTATTTATGTGTTATTCATGTATCACGTGTTATGAATGTCATGCATTATTCATGTTTAATCAAAGACAATATAATAAAAAACTTTATTAATCAATCTTACATTCCTCTAACCAAATATAAAAATTTTACATATCTTAAAGTTAACAAAATCTAAAAATCATACATTTTTCTTTAATATCATTTTTTCTTTCGAAATCTAAGAATCTGTAAATCAAAATCCTTTGAGCCATATCAAATTTGATAAAGCAAGTGTAGTTTAACATTATTTTTAAATTTACCCGTACATATATATTTAAGGTTGTTAGGCATTAAATTATAGGCGGTGAAATTAAAGGTAGATTACTTTTTGTAAAGGAATATTTGAAATAGTGGTAGCGAGTGCAAGGCAAATATAAATGGATATCTACTAAAGAAAAAAAAAGGAATGGATGAAACATATAGTCAAAATTAATTTAGATGGCGCTTTGAACAATGATGAGGAAGTTAGAGGTTTTAAGACAAAATAATTAAAGTCAATGAAGGTTTTGTTCAGTGTGCTTTTTCGATATGTGTCATAATGGCTTTGGCATTGGATTTTAAAATGAAAATCAAAACAGGGGGAATTGTTACTATTAGCTCAAAGACTTGAATTAAATAAAAAAGGTGGTGAATTGGTTAATTATAAATTTTAACAATTTTAACACCAATAACACAATAATCACAAATACCAATTTCTAAACAAATAAACATAATATATAAGCACAATGTAAACAACTTGAAATGTAAAAAGGTAGAGTTGGAGAATCAAACATCGGTATTTATAAAGGTTCGATCATTCTTCAAGGCACTTATGTCCTCTCATTTAGCTCACTTGCCAATGAGTCCAATTGATTATGTGTTGAATGTTACAATCTAAACCTTCAAAGCTCTATGCAATCAATAACACAATCTTTTATGGGTTATCCTTTCCTTTAAGTTTACAACCTTATAATACAAGTTTTGAAGTGTTTTTGCAAATTCAAGGAACTTTTCTAAGGTTGGGTGTTTGTTAATTTGAAGTACAAAGAAAGTTATGAAAAAATCAAAAGAGAAATAAATACAAGATTTGACTTTATGCATTTTTCTTACAACAAAATGATCTTTAATGCTTAGAGAAAATGGTGGATGGAGTCGATAAGTTTTCTTAGTTCTTAATAGTTTGAATTTAGTGGGAGATTTCTTTTTATATGTAGAAAGGTGAAGTGAGTTGTTGGCTTGTTAGGAGCCTCTACAAATAATAAAAAAAAATCGACTTTAAACTTGTCAGGATCGAAACAATTGATCCCCTGAACGAATCGATCTTATGCTAAAGAGGATCAATTGGCTCATGTTTGAAAAGCCAAACTTTAAACGTGAAAAGCACCACCCAATCAATCTTGTATTTTATAGCAGTTGATCCATTTGCAAGGTGATCGATCTTTTAGGTTGGGTAATCGATCCATTTTCATGTTTTTGAAACCAATTTTGCTTCTGATAAAAAAAATCAATCCCTACAGGAGGGGTTTAATCCTGTTTTTTTGAACTCTTGTACCAATGTTTTCATGAAAATGCCACAATACAAACTGTTGGCTAAAAAAATCAATCGATTTTTTTGAGGAAGGAATCAATCCTTTCCATGCAATTTTGGCCAATTTTGTCTTCAAAACATGGGAAATAAATTGGTTTTGTTCAAAAATATTTTTGACTAGATAAAAAGATAGAAAAATATTCAAATTAAGTTCAAATCAATTTAATTCAATTTTAGCAAATTTTTGTTTTGTTATTTTAAAATACTTTACCAATTCAAGGCTAATAATCTCCTTCTTTTTTATATGACAAAACCATAAGATAAAATTTGCTTTGAAAATATTTTTTTTTAAAGAAAAAGCTCTTCTTGAATATAAGCATGATCAATAAAAATTAAAAGGTCATTTTTCTACAAGGTTTCAACAAGAATTGCAAGATAAAATCCATCCATTTCATTGTTAGCAAATTAAACACATCATAATATCAAGAGCATTTATAAGACATAAACACATGCAAAATATCAAATATTCATCGAAGCACAAGTTCTCCTTTTTGTTATGCTAGAAACATATAAGCAAATATAGCAATTTAGTAAGTTTTCATAAAACATAAACTTTTCCTCTTTTTTGTTATAGCAAAAAGGAACCAGTATCATCCATTCAATCCCTACAAGATTAACTTGCTCAATTAATTCAAGGGAACAATATCATTTAATCTCAATACGATAGCCCATTATAGCATCATAATATCAAGAATTACATAATCGCAATTATGAACATAATAACAACTTTATAGCAACACAATATCTTAAGGCCACATAATCAAACACAATATAATAAAGAAAGATGTTCGTGCCATTAAATTTAATACGTAAAGTGCCAATGTTGATGCTACAATAAAATTTGTCTTCAAGAAAAGTAAAAACTTAAAAAATTAAAAATGTAGGAAAAATAGTTTGGCTTGGCATCAAGGATAGATTAAGATGGAGGAGGATAAAGAGGAAAATGATGAAAACACTATTCCATTTGCTCTTGTGTAGTATTGATTTGTCCAATTTCAGTCTTCATTTGTCGAATTTGTGAAATCAACTCATTTTGAGTTACCTCTATATTTTCCAATCTAGAGTTTATATCCCTAACCAAGGAGTGTAAATTTTTTGTTTGAGTCATAAGAATTTGCAAAGCTCCTTAGGTATTAAATGGTGGACTAAAATGGCTTTCTTGTGGAATATCTTGTGGAACATCTTGAACTTTATGCTTTTTTTCATGCTTAATTCCAACTTCACTTTTTCTAATCCACACACAGGCAACATTTTGAGTATATCCCATGCTATGAAGTGTATGAACTTTAAGAATAGTGATAGGATTGGAGACAATCACTTTATCATTTTTAGTATTATGCACAACCTCTTAAGTAGATTGCTAATGGTTATTCCATTTACCAAAATGTAGTCTTTATTTTGGACAACCTTCATCATATCATTAAAAATGAAGTGCACAAGATTGGGTTTTTTTTTCATGTTTAATCTTATACATCCACCAA